GTTACAACACAGTAGGGCTATTGCAGACAGAAACAATACTGTACTACATCGATGTTTCCTGTCGGCTCAATTTTTGAGTGGACGTTGCTGTTCCGATTCGCATGAACAGTATATGAGTGGCGTGACTGTGCGCTCCGCACACGCATAGAGCGGGATAATACACAGAGCGTCACACCACGTGATAGTGAAACCTGAGCGGTGAACTAATTTTCGGCAGCCGGAATTTCGGTGCATCTCTAATTATTGGCGACATCAGAAATTGATATTATATAATAGATGCTTTTTTGAACATTTTAGCAATTTAAAAATACTAAAAAAGTATTTTTACAAGGCACCCCTGCTCTCGACAGACGGCACCCCGGTTGGGAAACACTGCTATAGAAAGCAGTGTGACATAAAATGGAGGATGTCTCTTTGATCTTATTGGCTAATACAGCATGGATGCTCCACTCAAAGAGAGAGAAAGAGGAGGTGTAATTAAAGCTTTCCGCTGGATTCAAACACATATTGTGTATTCATGTTTCATATACTATTCATCTTTAGTCTGTCCCCAATCCATCTTCCTCAGTTTCTCTCTCTATCCCTCTCTCCCCACTCTCTCTTTTCCCCACGGTTTCTCTCCATGCTTTCTCTTCCGCTCACTCATCCCTCACTGTTTTCCCCCTTTCTTTCTTTTTATCCACGCCACTGGATCTCTATTAATAATCTGTGACCTACTTAAATACATTCACTGCTTCTCCCTCTGATTCTCTCTCTTGTTTTTCCATCTCTCGCTCCCTCTGCTCTTCGTTGATTTCCCCTCTCTTCCCAATTCCCACTAATATCCACGAGTATTTCGCTCTCTCGTTTCTCCTCTCTTGCTCTCTCACAGTCTGTTATTTCCCAGCACATCTTTCTCTTATCATCTGTGTCTTATCCTGTAAACCCATTCAGGCATCCAGCATAATCTGGCTTTGCCTCTTCCAACTTTATCAATTTGTGGTGAAGTTATTTCTTTTTTTAAGAGGAACCTCACAACGGCTGTTTAATTTGTGCTTTGGCTAGCATTATCAAATGGAATTGAACAAAATAGAGTGCAACAGAAGTAAAAATCCCATTAGTTTTCTCCATAGAGGCATTGACTTTTAACGTTAATTTAAAAACAGATCTACCATGAGCGAAGATGTTGTTTATCAATGATTAACACTTCTTTTGAAGTTATTTTATCTTAATTATTTCAAACAAAATCATGTTTTACAGTGCAATTCCCAATGAAGACATGCACTAACCATGATCCTGCAGAGAAATATCTACCAATCAGAATCGTGGCAAATGACTATGCTAAAGGAGCTCTGCAGTGATCGACCACTACGTGAAGCACTGCAACAGATGCAATTGAGAGTCTCCCTACACTTGTAAACTACTAGTATTTGCATACTAGTATCTTGTTATTTTGAAATAAAAGTAAACTACATTGTTTCTATACTTGCATACTTGTATAATAAAATATTCTAAATTAATAGCCTTAAGTCTTTGTAATGCAGAATTCCGAGGTGAATCACAGCATTACAAATACAAACTTTTATTTGAATGGCTTATAACTCTTTAACAGACTTTTAAAAAAATTCCTATGGGCAGAAGAATGTGGAAAATACTTCTGGAACCATGCAAGGCCACTGAAGAAGCACTCTATATTGACTGATTTCAAACAGGTTTGTCCCTCATTTGTCAGACAAACATATAGCAAACATATGCATTATAATATTTGATGTTGCACTTTGTAACGATATGTATGACGATATACCACGATGTAAACACGTACGATTATCATACCGTGTACATTTGCTTATCTACGGTATTGGGAGAAAATAACAGATGCAGAATCTCATCTGCGCCAAGGCAACAACTTTCCACTTAACTGTTCTCTTGCTCCACCCACACGTACTTTTGCATGTCTCTGTGAATGAGCTGCGCTGTGTCGTGTACTACATACTCAATGCGCCGGCGTCGTTCATAGTGTTTAACAGCGCCTGCTGTCTCACTATCTGAGGACGTGAACACAAACACTGAGCCTCACTGAGAGAACAATTAATAATCATTTCATCATTTTATTTGAGAAAACCACTGTCAAATACATTCTGACACTCAAAGCTCTTCACTACAACCCGTCAAAATAAAGTACGCTTTTTAACTCGAAGAAATTGACAGAAATTACAATTGTACTATAATGTAGCCTACTTCTAAAATAATAATAATAATTTACATAAACATTTTTAAGGAATATAATTTTTTCTCTCATTTTTATTTAGTAAATCTCTGTTGTGCAGCTCTTTGCAAAAACATAAAAGGATAAAGGTTATTTTTATTTGATTACATTTTAAAACACTAATTAAATTGTTAAAGCTTTATGCATTCATTTCACTACCACCATTTTTGATGGTATATTTGCATTAAATCATAAAAGTACAGAATCCAGAAAAATTAAGTCAAACCATAATTTATGAATTTTTATGAATTATTAATAATAAATAGTTAAACTAATAAATAATCAGTGATGAAATTACTTGTTTTTGATTAATGAAATTTGAATTGTTCTCTTGCTCCACCCACACGTACAGCGGAGACAACATCAGAGAGAGAGGCCGTTATATCTCCAATCTCTATCCCACGTCGAAATATGAGTTAAAATTGGCAGTATGGGAATACTTTGGATATAGAAAAGGCAGACGCTTATTTGTCCTCGAGGATAGACACAGTTCGCAAAAACTGTGGTCGGAAAGCGGCTGCAAAAAGAGGAAACACATCGAACATGTTTACCTATATTTCAGAACACCATCCCTCCGTGCAGATACAGCTATGTCCCAATTATAACATTTGCATTAAATCATAAAAGTACAGAATCCAGAAAAATTAAAACAAACCATAATTTATGAATTTTTATGAATTATTAATAATAAATAGTTAAACTAATAAATAATCAGTGATGAAATTACTTGTTTTTGATTAATGAAATTTGAATAAACACATGCTTTCAAACACTTGTTCAACCAAAAAAAAAAAACTGTTTTGATTGTTTAATACCGTATACCGTGATACCGTGAAACCGCAATATTTTCTGAGACGATTATCATACCGTGAAAATCTCATACCGTTACAACCCTAGTTGCACTGTCAGGCTGGTTGTGATGTTTTGATAGCACCACATATGCATTGTTTGCACCTTTTTTATGGAAAATCAACCTGCAATTTAGGTGAGACGTACTTATCGTTGTCTCTGCAAGTCTGCATTTTTAGGTTGGAATAGGAGAAAGTACTTGCATCAAGGGGCATGTAATTCCTATTTCTATTTGAACTTTTTTAAATTAAAATATATTTATATATGCTATCGAATATGTGTCTAAAACATGTTCTTATTAGTTATGTTCATCTGTCACGTTAGAACTAGCAATGATGGCTTGGACTGTTAGGGAATGAGATAGCTTTTATATAGAAGTTCAATGAACAAGAAGTTATATTTTAGTATTTTTAATATTAATATTTAGTATTTTAGACACAATATTGCCAGTTACATTGTCTGTTTTTTCTCTGTGAATGAAAATAATTCCATACAAAGTCACAGTACTACACACAGAACTTATGTTTCATTCCTGAATGCAGAATAATTCAGTGTTTTAAACAAATCCATTAAATGAACGATTCAATGACTCATTCATAAAGAACATCACTTGTTTTGTTCCTGATTTAATCGGTATATGGTTAAATCGGTTGAATAAATGAATCAGGGATTCAGTCATAAATCATTTCTCACCACCTAACTGGCATTATAATGTTACTATACAAAACCTGTCACTGAAATATCACCTCCTTAGACTAAGAGCCTTTCTGGAACGTTCATTCACGAACAAGCATTTAATGCTTTCTGAACCAAAATGGAAATAAACCGTTATTTAAGCCACAGTCACTGCATCATAGTTCCTGTCCTAGTGCTGGACATTTATACTCATATCTTTTATCAATATCTTACTGATGTGGAAACATACACTTATGTCAGTAAATGTGTCTCTGTCATAATGGAGTTATCATTTTTACATCAGTCCATCACGCTTTTAGTCTCTGATATTGCAAGTCTATGGTTCTTTAGCCACTAAACATCAGAGAATGTGAGACACAAACTCAATTTTGAGTCAATATATCTTTAAACTGCAGACAGAAAAGTGCCTTTAATGGTTTTGACTATAACACTTCAGTTTAGTCTCTCTAATAGTCTGTGTTAGAGTATAACAGTGTTGTGAGTGAGAGTATATTGTGCGAGTCAAGGTAAAAATACTCCTCCTGACAGCAAGAAAAAATACATTTCTGACTGTTCATACATTATATTGCATATATGTGATATAATTTAGACAAAATGAGAGGATGCACACAAAGGAGAGAAAATAAGAGAGCGAGACAGAAATAAATGTGTCGCTCCAAATGATGAGTGCACTCACCACCAGCTGTCAGGTGTGAAAATTGTTTCTGAAAGTGAGAAACAAGGAGAGGGCAGGGGACAAGTGAGCGGGAATGAGAGAGAGGGTTACCTGCTGATACTCCCAGCTGTCTGGAGTGAACACGCTGTCTCGGGTCTGCAGGGTCAAGTCCAGGCGAGGAATGGCATGGCATAACCGTACCCATATCGATGGGGTGTAGTTAGGGACAGTTGCTATGGCTGCCATGACTGCTGTAAACCACCTCTGTCTTTCTCAAGTATCTGAAAATGATTGAGAAACATGTAATTATAAAGAGAACACACCAAGATTGGACTGAGTCGGCTATATAATATTCTATACATCACTTCATCTACACATCATATAGATATTTTTTCATTATTAATGACGGTTAAACCATCTCAGAAACGATTTGCCGTGCCTTTATCATTTATTTTTACTACTTTTATGTACAGATTACATTTAAAGTTTTTAACTTGTGTCCTAAGACTACAAAGTATATCCACTATAAAAATTATACAAATCCATTATAAAATATAAATTATTATTTTAAAAAACGGCAATAACATAAACCATTTCAATATTTATTGTCTGAAACAGATTTAAATAAATAATATTATATTATATATTGACAAATTTTAAATTACATTTTTAATATTTGTGTTGTGTGCATATTGTTTATTCTGTACAATAGATAAGTTATTTGTATAAATGTAGTGTGTGGGCTACACTTTTTCTCTTATCATTAAATTTATATAAGGTTGAATGACAATAAAATGATTTGATTCTATTTGATTTTTTTTTATCACACATCAACATGTATGAAATCGTTTGATGTGAAAAAAAGGAGGGGAAAATGTCACCCCCAAAGACTCCAAACAAACAAGAGCAAGAAAGAGGAGAATGTAGAAACAAAGAAAAGTAGGTTAAGTAGAGACACACACACACAAACATTTTCATTACCAGGACTGAGGTCCACTGGGAACACAACATGGATTAAGTGATTAGATCATCAATGTTAAGAGAAGAGGTTTCTAAGATAGCCAGACACTGAGCAACCATTAGATCTCATGAGAACTCAATACATTTTTAAAAAATCATTATGGGGTTTTGAGGGACTATATGCACTCTAAAATTATACAAGGGCGGCATGCACCTTCTAATATCATTATTATTTCATGAGACATAGATACGTCACAAAATAATTATGACCTCATCTGGGCATATACATTCTGAAATCATCATGTCCTCATGATGGGACTCATTATGAAATCATCAGGCTATACATTCTATTTTAATTATGAGCTCATGATCCTACATCATGTATATCACTAATAACTCATCATTGACCCAGTGTTCCTTAATTACTTCATGGGATCTATATGGGTCCATTTCATTAACTTTATAACCTGATTTTGATTTATAATCAAATGCAATACATTCTAACACTATTAAACTTCTGTAAACTTATATACTGCACATTCCAAAGTTATTATGACCTGATTAGGGTTTATGGATTTCAACATCACTATGAAATAAAGATGGGCCTATTGAAATTTATTAACTAACAGAATTACTCTTTTGAGTAATTTCTGCACCACTATCTGCATAAAACAGAAAAAAATGTAAAATGTAAAAATAGCTATTGTTCCAAATTAGGTCTACCAAAAACCTCTCCCTGTCTTGCATTGTTTGGACAAACAGGTAACCTTGGCCTGCCTCAAAATTCCATCATTGCCAGAAGTTGGTAGATCATTTGATTCGCAGAAACCTTCCAAAAAGAGAAATGGCGTAAGCACTGGCTTAAGTTTCATTCCTAAAGTCTGGATATGTCATCTGTCATCCACTTCATCCTCCCAAAACAGTTAACATCTCACATCGCTAAATTAACAAGAAACTGCAGGCTCCATCACAAATAACCCTTACACTAGTGTCTGATGTGTTTTGTTCATAATGATGTTTGAAGGCTATTCATTTACAGTTTGAGAACATTACCAGCATGCAGTGGGTCAAGACAATAAGCTGGTGAATTGTGGTATAATTGGTGCAGCATTATTATAAGTGTCCTCTTTTCAAATGCAAATGGGAATAAAAGCCAAATTAATGTAAACAGTGTTATGGAACAGTTAAACATGCAGACCGTGACTCAGACTGGAACACTGCAGCACCTCTGAACATGATGCATTCTGTCAGCTTGTTATAAGGTTAAAGCTCGCATTGCATAATGGAAAGGCAATAATGCGAGTTTGGAAATGGAGCAAGGAAGAAAAATGTTGTTAAGAGCAATAGAGGAACAATTTTTCTTTCTTTTCTGTTCTGGACTGAATAATGCTTAGCATCCTCTATCCAATTCCTTAACTTCACTATAATTATCCGCAACATAAGTATGCAAAATAAAAACAAAAAACTAAAATTGCTTCCAGGATTACTCATGATGTCATCAAGAGGGTTTGTCATCCAAAATAAGCCATTTTAAGCTCACTGAAAACTCATTAGATTTTATGGAATTGCCACTTTATAATACTATGAGAAAACGTTCATCTGTGACTTAGCTCATTTCATGAGCAATAAACTATAACAAATGAAATTTTCACAAAGTGACATGAGTATGATAACGATATATTATTATGTGTATCCTAAAATGGAGCCATTTCCTTGTAACATTTTATAACATCTGAAGTAGGGATATATATACATGAATACATGGACTTCCCTGCATATTATAGTCAGTGTTGTTAATTCGCCAGTTTGATATAAGAAAGAAAATGAATTAATCATTGGTTACTAGGACTGAACCATGCTAAAATAAATAAATAAATCTAAAAAAAAAATCTGTAAATTATTGCAATAAATAAATACAAAATCTCAAATTATAATCACTAATAGCCTCCATGAATAGGCTATTCAAGGCTTGAAATGCCCCTTGAAAGTAATAAATCTGAAATCATTGTCCAATAAAAGACCAATGTTGACAGTATGATACAGTTAGTCATACAGCATTAACAATAAAAAGGGATATTATAAATTATAATACTGTTGAAATAAGCTGCCTGCTCTCAAACAACTAAAACCTGCTCTTGTGTTTTCTGAGAATTACATACAATATGTAGATATACACCAAAATGTCAATATAAAAATCACACTATTGATAGAGCCAGCCATGCATGTATGCTTGAGTGAGGGCATTTTTCGGTGCTAGATGGTCCAAATGAGGGTCCAAACATGTTCGTAAAGGTCACTGGGGGCCATTGTTTGTATTTGCATTTAGTTGTGTGTAGTGTCAATGACTAAAGGAGCTCATTATGAAGGTATTTATAAATATACAATCATCCACACAACAGGACTGATGCTAATCTAATAGATATCGATGAAAACTTCAGAATGACTAGAAACGAAATAGGACAGAATTGATTGCTGATTGCACTTGTGTGAGTTGACCCGGCGCGAGACCAATCGATCTCATTCTCTCTGGCTGACTTACATACTTGTTTATGGCAATCATATCCAGTCATATGCTCACAGCGCTTTGTCTTGGCGTCTGGACACACACTGTGAGAATCTTTTGTTTGAATGGTCTCCCGTAATAAATTAACTGTCATACGTTTAGCACGCAGACCAATTAACACGGTAAATGAACAGCACAATAGGCTATAAAATTTTATATGGCACATTTTAAAACGGTTGCCCACCTTAACTTGCAGCAGCCTAATGTGGGTGCTTCCACGTCTGTCACGCTCGTGTGAATTTGTTTGCGATTAGATGCGTTTACAGAGACCGCTGACCGTTGAAACGGTTTGCATCCTGAGTGATGAGATCTGTTGTATAAGGCTTCAGGAGAAAACGACAGTATTTTCAGTTCCAGTATGCGCCCGGTCTTTGTGCTCGCTGATGGATGATGGGAAACAGGTCTTCGGAGAGAGACGAGAATCCCTGAGGGATGTTTTAAGAGAGGAACGACTCCTTCAAATCCCGACGCCTATCCGTCAGTTTCACTCTTGATTTGAAATCCGCGGAGAACTTGAATCATCGTCCACAGTCGCGCGAAAGAACGCCCAGAGTCATTGAAATAAAAAAAAACTTCCTAAATTAATTGTTCTCAGTCAGAATTCGTGTTAAAAAAAATCCACAACTATGTCGTCGATGCCGTTCCCACACAAACTAAATGTTCAGTCTGCAGAAATAGCAAATCCATAACATCCAGGGGCAAATGAAATCCTTCCAGTGCTGAGTGTTTGTTTAAAATACTAACAACTATGGCTAATAAAAAAAAAGCTATTTATATTGTGGGGATAAAAATCGGTATATTTATTTTAATTGTACCATATTCAAACACATTTGAGTCTAATTTAAGCAAGTGAATGGAAGATTTAAATTGGTGTGGTCCTGAGGGTCCCAATGATCAGGACTGAACTTGGCTCTCTCTCCCTCCCTCTCTCTCTCTCTCTCACTGTGGGTGTTTGTGTGCAAGAGACAAAAAGGGATGGAGGGATTTACACATGTACTGTATTTAGACCGAGTGCATGACATCACATAATGACAGAGATCGAAAGAAAGGTGATTGTGAGAAAACCACATACAAGAGGCTCTTTTGTCAAATTAAAGAATAAAAAAGACAATAACGACATGTCAAAAGGTTTTCCAAATGTAATCCATGCAGTTTGGCTTAAATTCTCAGGGAATTCCCATAAATGCTTATTATGATTATTTAATGCACTCTTTAACCACAAATGAAGTAGGTGATGGGCGGTGAAAGGAATGGTTGAAGGGATGCTAGACTCCCGGTGGCCCGGGAGGTTTAACCAAGATAGGGGGATTAATAAAAAAAATACAATGAAAACAACAGAACGAGCGAGAGATGAAGAGATGGGTATTTGTGTGCCAAGGGAGTATGGGGTGGGGGGCATATGAATGCATGAGAGAGGGAGGGTGGTGTTGGTTTTTCTGTGTCACTGAAAGAGAAAGCGAGTGAGGATGGGGGAGGGGTGCTGGATGGAGAAGCACAGGAGGGAGGGATGGAGAGAAAGAGACTGCACAAGCATTCATATATGTGTAGTGTGCATGAGGAAAGAGAAAATGATGTTATGCATGCAAGACTTCCTTGCTCACATCTCAGACAGAGCTGCTAATGTAGCACGCGCGCACAAGAAAAAAAAAATCATAAAACATGTAATTTAGTTTAATTTAATTTCAAAGGTCCAAAGACATTCCAGTGGCTAAATCTACAGCTGTTCAGTTGTTTGTTTGATGCTGAATAATTGAGAGCTTGTGCTATAAAAACATAGCTGAAATACATGGTAAATTACTTATTTATTTCCAGTCCACTTTCGATAAAAAATTACACTCACCCTCACATCCAATTCGATAAGTGATCCAAAAATACTGCCTTGCACCGAGTCACTTAGCAACAATACAAAAACATTTTTGTAATTCTTACAATAAATGCCTGAACAGAAAGTGAAGAAATTACCAAGGTGAATGCTGTGTGTCTTTACCCAAAAGAGGGTAAGCAAATGCACACACAAACCTAAACTAAGAAGAGGTCTTGTTATATTTGTACAAAAATGTACAAATTAAAATAAACTAACCTGAAAATTTATGAAAACAAAATTAAATTAAAATAATAAAATAATGTAAAATTCAAATGTCAAAACTGTTCAGTTCTTTGGCCATTCAATTTTATTTTGCTTCCGCACTGAAATATGACTACTGTACATATGATATGACTTAATATAAAGAATTTCCATTGTTGCAAATGCTTGTGTTATCCAAAATTTGAGTTTGTGAAGAGAGAATATAAAGATATAAAACTGAATAGTGTTTCTCACTGCAACAGAGATGATATAGAAATTATTGTAAACATTTTTAAAATTGGAATTGGATTGGAGAGGAGTAATTTTAGGAGTATATGATTAAAATGTTTTATTTAAATATATAAATTATTTGATGTAGTAATTAACTATTAACCCCGAGTTCAGAATAAACCAGGCACTTTTACACATTGGGCAGCTGCACAACACATACAACCTGATAGAAACCATTCTCTGTGTTTGAATGACCGTTCACACAAAGATAGAGTTTATTTACTTCTAGCTTCCCGAAGTTGATATCTTTGGCTAGTTTAACAGACCCTATCCCTTCAAACATCTTCTCTGTCATGGACTCCTGCGATTTGGCCAGGGTGAGGTGGTATGTTGGGCATCGGGAATGGCGGTGTAGCCAGCCCTTCTCCTTGAAGGCTTCTTGGATAGGGGAATTCAGGCACTGGACATCGAACAGGGGTTGTGGGGCCACATGGAGAACAGTCCCATTAAAGTGCTTTAGTTTTGGGGTGAAAGACACAGAAATAGGGGGTTTGTGGGAGTTTCTGACTGTGGTACGCAGGAGCTCAGCAGCAGCGCTGACTTCCTCTGGGCCCTTCAGGACAAGTAAGGAAAGAGTGACGTGCAAAGTTGCAGGGTCCACCCATAGCGGCTCTGACTGAGGAAGCTGGGAGAGAACCTTTTTCTGAATGCGCTGAAAGGCCTGCAGAGCAGCGGGAGAGTCCACGCGGAAGCAGATGAAGTGGGTGGCTTTGCGTGGTGGTGGACGGTTGGACCGAGGTTCTTGTGGCAAGGATGATACTGGCTCTGCTTCTGTACCCCTCTTTCCGTCCCAGCTGTCTTTCCATTCTTCCACTATTTCAGTCTGTGCCTCTTTCGGAGCGATGGATAACTCCTCTGCCAACTGATTCAAATCTTCGGTAGCCGACATATTTTGGTCTTCTTGTGCAGATTCTTTTTGCAAAAGTAAAATATCATCTTCAGCATTTTCGGTAAATGAGTGATCTACAGCATCTCCCAGTTCTTGTTTGTTTGTTTTAATTGCAGCTGCACCATCATCCTGTTCTTTAGAAAATTCAGTCGCTTGCTCTTGGCCATCTGCTGTGTTGGTGGTCTCTTCATGTTGTTCAGTGTCAGCTAAATTGTCTGAGAATTTAATAATTCCAATATATTAAAAGTAAGATACATAGTATTTTATTAAATTAATACTATACAATTATTATATAAAATAATGCTGTTTATTATTGAATAACAACTATAATATTGAAATATTAAATTAAATATACAATTCATCAACTCATAAACATCTTTTCTATCATGAGTATGTTTTTAATAAATTAACATGCATTAGGATATATGTTTTGGGACATAAAGTCTTAATATAATATTGAAGAAAAATCTTCATTAAAATAATGAAATTCTTGAAAAGAGAACCTTATTAAGTACTTCAATATAATCTTTTATTATTTTAATATTTTATTTTATTAGTCATATGGTGAGAGCAAAAAAAATCCACACTGTTCAACCAACACACCAAAAAAAAAAAAAAACTGAAATGATTAAACACAGAACTACTAATAACGTGGTTTAAAGTAGATGTTTAAATATTTGTCCTTTTCTTTATTGTGAACACTCTTTTATGGCATTGACGCAATAACCAATTTCCAATAAACAACCCGTTTCCCAGCCAAAATAATACTGTCACTCACCTTGATGCTGATTCGCACCACCAAAAGGGGGCAAAATAGTCTGCCCTGTTGAACCGAACACCCTGTCAGTGCGACTGTCCCTATCCCACACCCGCTGGCCTTTGTAGCTGAAGTACTGGATCCTATGACGAGGGATAGACAGCTCCTCAGAAAAGTCACAGTCACATACCTAATGAGGAACAGTGTTAAGGCTTATGACCATACAAGATATATGGTAATGAACCATATCAGTGCTGATGTACCAGACCTGAGTGTCCCAAGAGAAGTCAGAGAATGGGCGTTCCAGCACCCCAAGGAAACGGTCCAGGTGACCGACTATAAAATCAGCTGGGTCCACTGAGGAGTCCCATATAATTCTGGAGATGACATCGTCGGCTGTACGCATGCGTGGCTTCTTCTTACACCCTGAGACAGAAAGGCATCTATTTGTAAACTTGAAGTATGAATTTGGACGGTAAAGTACCTCTGCACTTCATTATTTCTATAAACACACCTTCCTTCTCATTCCTTATATGCTGCTTTTCTGCGTTTATCTGTTTTCTGTTTTTTCGGGTCTTGTTCTGCTTTTCTGTGACGGCTGTATCATCTTCCTCTGAGTGTGTGCTTTGAGGGACGTCAAGTACACTGTGAAGTCAGGAAAGAGCAATGCATTATTTATCCACTAAGCTTCAATGAACATTCCCAAGATCTAACAAATTTCACATCTTTTACGGCAACTACAAGACACTGTGCCAACTGCTGATGAAATGCAAATATCCAGATAATAAATCATTTCTAGCATGAGGTTAGTTCGCTAGTTGAGTCTCTACCATCCAGAGTGATTGACAGACCTGTGAGACAGTCGACATCTGTCTCCAAAATGACATCTGCCCAAGAGGAAGTGCTGACAAATGTTTTGGCTAGTTTCTTGTTTCATCTCATCTGGTACGAAGGGAAAGGGAGGAAAAAGTCAAATAAATACATTCATGCACTGACTGATTACACAAGACAAAGTTAATCTATAACTACTGGGACAATAAAAGTTAAGCTCTCCCAGATTAGACGTGATGTAGCGTAGTGTGAAGATGTAAATGGTGGTATTCAAAACAGGTAAGTTTATGATGGACAAAATAAAAGTCTGAGGCAAATTTCTGTTTCAGTGCAGCATGTTTCAACACATGTCTTCAACTCCACCCACCACCCACACATTTTCACACCTGTTGTGGCATAATAAACAAACCTATGCTAACATTCAATAGTTTGGGGTAGATAGGATTAAATAAAAAGAAATTAATACTTTTATAAAGCAAGAACACATTATAACTTTTACACACTTTTATAGTGTTACAAAGGATTCCTATACTGAATAAATGCTGATCTTTTGAGCCTTCTATTCATCAAAGAATCCTGAAAAAATGTATCACGGTTTCCACAAATATATTAAACAGCACAAAATTGAAAATAAGAAATGCTTCTTGAGCAGCAAATTAGCATAGTAGAATAATTTCTGAAGGACAATGTGACACTGTAAACTGGAGTAATGGCTGCTGAAAATTTGGCTTTGCCATCACAGGAATAAATTACATTTTAAAATACATTAAAATAGAACCTTTTAAATTGTAATAACATTTCATAATTATATGTTTTTCACTATACTTTTGCTCAAATAAATTGCAGCATTGGTGAGCATAAGAGACCTCCTTCAAACATTAAAAATATCTTACCAACCCCAAACTTTGAAATGATAGTGTAGTAGGCCTACATGTAATCTGCACAAAGGGATACCTTCCTTGGAAGATAGGTACATACTATATCCTAAATCTTCCCATGTAACAACAAATGACAATTTGGGGGCTTCAACACAGCACAAATGTCCCTTTAGAAAGCTTTTGGACCAGGTTTTCATTGAAAATAGCACAATAATGGCTTGTAAGTGCCCTTACTAGGACTAGTGGTGTGGAAGCAGACCTCTCTTCATGAATTTTATATTCTCTACCCTGCACTTACAGTAAGCCTACAGCAATTTTGTACAAAACGAACCTATACTTGGCTAGAAATTATGGATAATTACCGGTATATGAAAAGGCTTTTCACTGCCACCTTCAGGTCATTTGCATTATAGCCTCCACCTCTACAGTATTTGTTAAAGGCTGTGACCAAAGAGTTTTATTGTTATCAAATTAGATAACTTTGTACATTTCAGCTCATTTTAAGTAATGTATTTCAAACTACTTAAAATGACTAAATGATGTAAAATTCAAATGACTTACTAGCACTACAACTCATAAGCTGTGAAGAAAAACCTTTAGAATTAAAATACAGCTTTTTGTATTTAACATACTTAATGTATTGGTGACAATGTAACTCATTTAAGAGTAAATAAATGTCATAGAAGTCTTACCTATGTGGATTTGTCTGTCAGAATCCTCTGTCAGGTTTTCCTCAGTTCTCGTTTCCTCACATGCCATATTTGACAGCTTCAACAGAGCTTCACTGAAACAAACAAGTTACATTTAGTGTCATTTAAAAGCCAACCTAAGCATAATCATTTTGCCATAGTGTACTGTAGTCGGTAAGACAAAAAGGAAATATTATGTAAAAACCATTTTGGCATAATAGGGGAGAGCATGAACCAGCCTACCTCAAGTCACAATGAATCAGAAAACTAGCTTCGAAGTTGACTGGTTAGTGTTAATGTTAACATATACAAGATGACATCATCTGGTTCAAATGACTCATAGTTAGCCTACAAACTGCGCGAATGATTGATAAACAAATACATTACACACACACACACACTAATGAAACAATGTAAGTCAACATAGTAACCTTCTGAAGATACTGTTTATATTGGATGTAACATTTACTGTACATTTTATAATATAGATGTTTATTATATTCAAACATACTTACTGTGCTGCTAGGCAATGTTCACAAAGACCACTTCCGGTGTTAAGTCTTGGGGTTCTTCTTCTTTAGTTTTTTTGGCGCATAACAATCTAAATGTATAGCGCCACTTACAGTACGTTGCTGTTGTGCAGTCATGTTATCTATTATCGTCAAAATGACTTATGAACATAACAAAAAGTCTTGGGGTTCTACTGGGTATTGTAGTTTTCGGCAAAATAATTATAAAAGTTCGACTAGTTTCCGCGAATCGGTTCTTTTAAACAGTTTGGTTCAATATCTTCACGTGGTCCTTTATATCCAAGCATATTACACGCTTCATTTTCCTGTGAAGACACGTAGGCGCACACTGCTGTGTATTACAGTTAGATGTTTTATTAACAATACATTTGATTGTACTTTAATTTGCCCCAGTTCAGTCTATTGAAGCCATGATTCCGCTCATAAAACATTAAGTGCCATTTGCGTTTACAATGAACTAAAATGCATTTCAATATTTCGCCGGAGAAAGGCTTTTTTGCATATCATATCTTGAGTGAGCTGTTCATTTGAGAACCGCTCGGACCGTTTCATTATGAATTGTCAGCGATTCAATCAGATCAGTTCATTTGAATCATCAAAAACATTCAATTCTACAAAAGATTCATTCATGGAACAAGGAGCGCTGTAAAGCATTCAGCGGATTACGGAAGCGATAAAAACAATTCAATCACTCGAAATAGCAAATATATACGTGGTGCCACCATGTAACTACAACAGAAAAACATATTAATTGATTATTTGGACTGTACCGTTGGCTATTCAGTGTGACAGACTAGAGCAGCTGTGTGAGTCACGCACACGTTGTTGTGATCTAAGCGCGCGTGACTTCCCCATCACATGACACATAAGAAAGACTGAAAAGGATGGATTTAACAATGTAAACCAAATAAAAATAACAATTATCATCGTATTTCAGTGACGATTTAGTAAACCACATCGGTTAGGATAGTGCACCATTTATGCTGACCAGAAATAAATTACATCGTTAGCAACATTGACAACCATGCAGAACCTGTAGACATACAGTTGATATTGTCAATACTCCATTGCAATGTCTTGTTCTTGTTAGTTTACTGGTACCAGTCGGCGCTATAGCTGTACCCAGCTGATAAAGGTAAGGCTATTGTATTTTCCTATATCTAATTTCCTTTTGCATTTAAATTTTAGGCAAGGCACCACTTGTGAACGGAGTAACAATTTATATCACAATACTTCCCCAGTTAATTAATCGCAGTACATTATTTATATATTGTGTCTACATTTTGTATTACTTTAAACGTTATGTTAAAATGTGCAGATGCATTATGTAATTAAAAATGCGCATATACATGTATACATTTCTAGAAGAGAAATCTGAACATACGATAAAGCCATTTTCAAAAATTGTTTCATTTTGTTGACGCTCTAGAGTTTAAAGTTTTTTACTGAGAGGATTTTGGATATTTCTTCTTTTTCACTCAGTAAATTACAGAATACTGTCAACATTCAGGTAAAAAACTAACTGTATTTTTAGGAATACAATTTTATATAAATCGGTCAAATGTAAAAATAAAAATTAAAAAGTTTGGTTTATGCTACTGAAGTGGTTATACTGTGCATAAGAAAAAAACTCACTTGCAGAAAATGGCGTATAAATAAATGTATTGTAATTGAAATCTACATATATAATTAGTGTAATAAAAATGTGTAATGTATAATAAACACTTAAATGTGTATTGTGGAGGTTTTCTTTCCTCTAGTCTGAAAAAAAAAGTTATGGAAACAAAAAAAAAAAAAAAAGACTAGTTAACAGTTTATACGAGTAATAATTACTGTTAGAGTCAACTCTGATCTCCCTTAAGTTTGTTTAACATTGAGTGCCTGTTCTCGTTTATAAACCATTTCTTAAACTCACCCTCATTCTTTTGAAATGTAAAAAAAATGTGCGATAATATCGCATATTCTCATATGACCTTTTAATTCCCTCCAGATGAACGCTTTAGTTGCCCTTTGCCACTTTTGTGAACTCCATGGCCCGCGGACGCTATTCTGTACAGAGGCCGTCCACCCTCCATCCCCGTCTCCTCCGCAGCCTGGTCCAGTCATTCCTGGTGACAGGGACCGAGAGGCGGACAGAGAGGGCGAAGGGCTCACCATGAGAGCCAACAGCTCTGCCACACAGAGAGCTGACATGTGTGAAGTAAGTGAGAAAGTAATCTTGTCATATCCCAAATGTATTTTTAACTCCAAAATCCGAAAAATTTATTTTCTATAATGTCTTATCTAATATCTGTCTTTCTCTCTCCAGGGCTGTCGCTCCCTACCTGCGTCTCACCCAGGCTTTGTGAGTGTGGACAGTGAGACGGGAATCCGCTATCTGAGCCACCAGCACCCACGCCAGCAACAGCTCTTCAGTGTCGTGCGACAAGCATGTGTGCGCAGCCTGAGCTGCGAGGTATGTTTGCATCAATTAATTAATCTAAACTTGATTAAAAAAATATGCATCTATGTGATACTTGTATATTATCTGCTCTTGCAGGTTTGTCCTGGTCGAGAGGGGCCCATCTTCTTTGGAGATGAACAGCACGGATTTGTTTTCTCTCATACGTTTTTCATCAAAGACAGCCTGGCACGGGGCTTCCAGCGCTGGTACAGCATTGTCGTGGTAGCCATGGACAGGATCTACCTCATCAACTCCTGGCCATTCCTGTTGCGCCACCTGCGGCTAACCATTCAGAGTCTACAGAACACAGCACTCAAGGTACTGCTGGACTGCAGCACCACTTTAGGACCGAGATTGACAGAGTACCACTTGGGGTGATGAGTTCCTTGTAGTGTTGAAAATACAACGGTTTGTTGCCTTGCAGGTGTTTGACAGTGAGCAGTGTGTGTGTCCTCAGAGGGCTGTGCGTATGAACAGCGCCTTCTCTCCGGCAGTGTTCCCTCACCAGCGCAGCGGCAATGCAGCCCGCTCTCTCACATCCCTAACCCAACACCCCAACCTGTGGGCTAGTCTGCACTCCTCAATCAGCTGGTTTGTAAAACACAGTAAAAAAAAAAAAAAGAGGCATTCTGATCATTTTTGACTTTATAACCCATATTGTGACTTTATATCTCACAGTGTGACTTTATTTCTAATAACTGCGACTTATCTCACAGTTGTGACCTTATTTGTCATAATTGTGACTTTATATCTCAAAATTACGACTTTATTTCTCATAAATGTTACTTTATAATGTATATTATAATTTTATAACTTATGCTGTGACTTTATCTCACAATTCCAACTTTATATCTCACAGTGGTGACTTTATTTCTCATAATTGCATCTGTTTCTCATTAAAATAACTTTATAACTCCTATTATGACTTTGTAACTTATATTCTCGTAATATATCTCACAATTGTGACTTTACATCTCACAACTGCAACTTTATTTATTAAATTGTGACTATTTCTTAGAATTGAGATTTATATCTTACAATTACAAACTGTGTATCTCACAATTGCAAACATTATATTTCATAATTGTGACTCATTGGCGCAAAAGTAATAGTGAGACTTTTCTTGGCAAATCTGCTATCTGCTTTTTTTAAAGGGGTCATATGATGCTGCTAAAAAGAACATTATTTGGTGTATTTGGTGTAATGAAATGTGTTTATGCGGTTTAAAGTTAAAAAAACACATTATTTTCCACATACTGTTTTAGGTAGGTGTGGCTAACTCTTAACTTTTATAAAGAATATCTCTTTGGATTTGAGACTTTAGTCTTTGCAACTTTACAGATCTTCTTTATGCACCAAGAGCTTGTAACACTCTAAAGAGAAAGGAAAAAATGAAATCGCATCATATGACCCCTTTAAATCATTACACTTCCTATTACTTTGTTAATGATCTTTATTTTAGGTTGCTGAAAGCTTGTGGCAGTCGGTTGACAGAGAAGCTTTTAGAAGGGGCACCCACAGAAGACACACTCGTTCTCATTGAAAGACAAACCGGTAAAATTAATGCATTGAGTAAAATAATTACTGTATAAAAACATTAACATTTAAATTTTGTTGTTTAAAAAATGTGATAAAATGCTATTTTCTGCACACAGCCTTTTTCTGCAACAAGATATTGCAGAAAATAGATATTCTGCATCTGTTTTCTGCAACAAGATAAACTGATTTTTTTTTGTCATGAGATACTATTGATTCTGTAGCAATATTTTAATTAGTGTGTCTGCTAACAAATTGATTTTTCAAATGTTAAACCGGGTATCTGACCCACATTTTCCTTTCCCAATATTCTGCTTTTGACACTGACATACAAACAGCTCTCCAGTGATTTTTCAACTTTGTTCATCTTTTATAATCAGAATTATAAAAATGATTAGCCATAATTGGAGGTTATACTGTAATGTTATACTGTAGATTTCAGCATGAAAAATGTTCACAGCAACATTATGTATAACTCTCTCACAGAGCAAGAGGAAGAGATGAGTGGCTGGGATGGTGCTGAAGGGGGCGGGTCTAACCCACAGCCCAGCCAATCAGAGAGTGTGCAGGCTAAAGATTTTCAATTTGATGACGGAAGACAAGAGGACCTTCTTGGGCCAAAGTTCAAATCACTGAGACATTTAAGACAGGTAAATAAATGTTTACTCTTAGGGATGTAAGGATTGTTGAAAATCGATTCAAATATGTGACGATTCAAATCGGTTGAGATGTAAAGAAATGTGCAGCATTTTGTCCAAGCAATAATAAAAGGACACATTTCATTTATAATTTGTCTTAAATCTCATTTTGTTAAAAAAAAAAAATAATAATCGTGAATCGAATCGAATCGTGAAATCAAAATTGTGAATCGAATCGTGATTTGAGTAAATCGTTACATCCTTATTTACTCTGTTACAAACATCAGATTTTGTTTAAAAATATATAAATTTGTCTATGCTATATCTGATTAATGACAGGTCCTGGGTACCAGTGATTTCCGACAGCTGGCATGGCACGTTCTCATGGGAAATCAAGTCATATGGAGAGGTGCAGACCCTGGTCTTATCCAGTCAGCTTTCAATGTGCTGAAGGTCAGCTAAATACCTAAGCCCATTGCCTACAATATTTTCATCACATTTATCAAGTGATGCAGGTCTGCACCATAAAAGAAAATCTATGTTAGATGTTATAAACTGCCAGTCAAAAGTTTAGACAAACTTGACTGAATTTGTTTCTCCTGATCTTCAGAAGAATATTATTAAAGGTGCAATAGGTGATTGTCTTCAGAAAAAAGTTATGCTGGTTGAAAGTCTCTTCACATCCCGATAGCAATCATTAAGTTAAGTGGTCTAAATGTATTTATATGTTCTGTGGAAGGCGTAGGACCAAGAAATGTTCGTCCAATCAAAATGCTCGGTCCGAGCGTTTTGATTGGCTTTCCTACCTGCCTGTCAAGATATGTATTTGCATACCTCTGTGCACCCTGTTCGCGCAGACAGGATACGTCATCAGCGCGTTCACGTACGCTGTGCAGACAGAGCGAGAATGGCAGGCAAACATCAACAACCTGACCTTGCTTCCTGGTATTGTAGTACTTTTACTAACTGTACTATAAAGTTTTCTCACCGGTTAATTAGGGCTGTGCAAAAAATCGAATGCGATTTTCATGCGCATCTCGTCAGTAAAGCCGCTTCTTGTGATTAGTAGTAAATCTCCAGCACGTTCTTTCAGATGGAGCGGCATTTACTACACAGAGCCGTAGATCACTGACAAGCTACGCAAAATCGCGTTCAAAATCGGCAATGAATCGCCTGCGATTTTTTAAATTTTTATAAATAAAAATTTTTTCAAAAATTCTAATTGATTTTTGATGATGCCATTATTCCAAAATGTGAATAATAGTAGTAATAAAGAATGAGTATATGTGTCTAATCTTATGACTGGTAGTGTATGTTTTAAGTAGATGCTGAAAGTCTTGCTATTTCAGTTCTGACCCTCATTTCTGTCTGTTTCACAGGCTTTGCTTCCAGTTGGATGTGTCCGAGCAGTTCCGTACAGTCCTCACTATGAGGAAGCATATCGATGCAACTTCCTTGGCCTTAGCCCAGATGTACCAATCCCAGCCCATGTTAGCTCTTCAGGTATCTTTTATTTCACTGCAAATCCTCTTTTATGTATTTTGGCTTCACAGAGCTAGTTCATTTTCAGAACTTTCAGAAAACATATGTCTACACCACATTAAAAAGGACTTCATAAGATCCAAGCCCTGAGGGATTTGAACCAATTAACATATTGTATCCTGATCCCATCCTTGTGGCGCTGCTGTAGCTGAGATTGCTTCGGGTCCAACATATACAAACATTAACACTCAATCAGTCACAATTAGAAATGACAGCAATAACATGATGAAACAAACACAAATAGATTTAACAGAGGCCTCAAAGTGTTTTGGGGTGTTCTTTGTCAGAATGTGATTTACATCTTATTTCACAACTTCTGCGTGACTGTTTTCTTTCTAAACAGTGAAATTGTTTCATAACTCAGTGTCTGGTTCATCTCAAAGTTCAACACTCATTGTGTATATACATAGTCTAACTCCTCTCCCTATTTTTCTCTCTTTCTCAATCTCTCTTCCAGAGTTTTCCATGCTGGTGGATGTACTTAATGTTGAGCGCGGTTGTGTAAATCCCGTTTCGGATGATGACATTCTCTCACTATACCAGTTCAACATTAGCAGTGCAAACACACAGCCAACAGATAAAGGTAACACATGGAAACAAACTTCTGTAGTATAGACTTTAAAGATTTATACCACTATTCAAAGTAACACAAACTATTTATTGAATTTTGCATTTGTACATAGTGAATTCTATTTTAATGTGCCTTTCTCATGGTTTGTCTTTCTCTCAGGTCCAACTCTGTTGAATAAGATCGAAGTGGCTCTTTCTAATGAGAATTTGTCAGTGGAGGTGGTCTCTCTCTGCTTACTCTGTCTGAAAGAAGAGTGGATGAAGTAAATTTGCATTTTGTCTTTAGACTACAAAATCTTAAATATAACTCTTTTGAAGCATTATGTATGTCTTTACTGTCACTTTTGATCAATTTAACGCAAGTAATAATTTCTTTTTTAATTATTTTTGAATGGTAATTAAATTAAAGTACTTTTACATTGTTTCTATAGAGCACTTTCCACAAATGGGTGCAAAATAGGACCCAAAACTTTCAATTAGAATTACAAAATTTAATTAGAAGTAATTTGAAGGTAATTCTAATGTTGTTTTTTAGCCTTCGGATTAAACAAAATTATAACTCTTTTATTTTCTATTCCTATTTCTTGAACATGAGGTTGTCCATTTTTGTAACACTGTTACAAATTCGGGACACTAGGAACACTGATAAATAATACATTTTTGTTGTTAAAATTATTTAAACATAGTTTGCTCTACAATGAATAGAATATAAATGTAAAAGATTGTGTCAAAATGATGTAATTTTATTAGCTTTTAAGATATCTGAGAACACACAGTCCAAAATCTAGTAACGTAGACTCCAAAATATACTGAATTTCTGGAATGTGCCATTATATTTATTTCAGGCAGTTTATAAGTCATGTAGCAGACATAAAGTTAAATACTTTGCCTGTTTCCCGTAATTCTTCTTTTTCCTCTTTCTTAATCACTTACTCGCTTCTCCCCAATTTCCTCTTAGACCTGTTTTCCTCTTGCCTGTTTATTGTTTCTGTGCTTCCTCTCACCACATGGTCTTCTTGTTCTTTCTGTTACAGCAAAGTAAAAGTGTTGTTTAAGTTCTCCAAGGTGGATGGCAGAGGTAAAGAGGACACTCAGAAGGTTTTAGCCCTGCTGGGGGCCACGGGGCCCGGGGAAGAGGACAATGTGCGTCTTCTTAAGTTTTGGATGACAGGACTCAGCAAGCTCTACAAGAGCCATCTAATGACAGCAGTCAGAGGTGGAGAGAGAACTCTGAGCCAGTGAGAGAGAGAAAGGGGACAATGGACTCACTGCTAGAGTTAGATGAAAGGAATGTGTGGGTGCGTGTGTGTGTCTGTGTGTCAATTACGGGAAAAGCGGGCCAGCCCTGAGAATGTGTTTTTCTGCATGGTACAGAGAGAAAGTAAAAACTATCATTGTGATTGGAGCCTCAAAAACTTTTACTTACACATGTGCATTTAAATGGAATGTTGTTTTACCGTCATGCATAGACATGTCCATTTTCTATCTTTTTCACTGTGTCTAATAGAGCACATGGTCCACTGACATTATGGGAACTAGGCAGAGTATCAGTTGACATGATACTGTTTGAGGCATGCTTATTGCAATTCATCATCCATTTTTTTTTTTTACATCTGACTTGTCTGAGAAAGAATTTGTATTTTATGAGCAATTTTATTTATCCTTATTTGATAACTTATTTTAAATAAACAGCTTTTACTTTAATCTCACACATGCTAAATAAAGACTACGTGCTGCTTGTAAACCAAAGTGTTACATTTTTTTAAATTAAGTACTATAATTTATTACAGCAATGTGGTTATACCAGCTACTGACCTCTATCAGAATCATATGGAAGGGAAGAAATAGTTTTTTAGTGCTAAGCCTGTAATTGCTGCCATGAGAGATTTTCTGGATATGTAGAAATCCCCTTAAACCCATTATAGTTTTTAAAGCTTGTTTCAATGTACTACAAGACTTAAAATCATGCAATAAACACTGTGCAAACATGCAAGTCCCCCCTAAGCAGCTCTTACGTAAGGAAGTTCTTGTGTTTTAAGGTGGAATGGGCTCTACTGAAAGGATCAGGTTATACTACGGTAATTCCTCCTTTATAAATGTAGCTATCATGAGACATATCATGTTTGGACTATATCATGCATATAAATTCTTTTTTGCATTTAAAATTTGTAACAAGTCATCAGTGCAAGTTAAATTAGAAATTTAGTGAAATGTGGTGAGCGAGTGTGAATGTGTGCAGAAGAATCAATATTACCCCGAGGACTGCAAGATATTCCTTCCTGTCTACACGGGTTGATTGATGGCAATTGCCAGAATAACTTTTACTCATACAGATAATAATCTATTTATTGATTCCTGATGGCACATAAAGCTTTATGTTGGCATAAAAGTTCTCTATTAATATAAAGGTTTGATTGCTTATTACACTTTAACATATTTTAATTCATCATATTGCTACTCCAAATTTGTTTACTACACTTTCTCAATGCAATTTAAAAAAAACATAGGCACACATTATGCACTAAGAACAATGTATCTTTGATGCAGTCTCTCATGTGACTGTATTTAAACCAACTACCACAAACTGACTGCTTTGTCTATTTAAATGACAGCATGGTTGAATCCTCCTCAGTTTATAGGCATCACATGCTTGACAATGACTAATCTGGAATAGTGTGAATTACACAAACGCGTCTGATGAAATATAACTTCCTTTCATTACAGTCATGAAAGCTCACATGCTTAGTCATCATTCAGCTGATAAACTGGGATTGAGGGAGCAACAGACATGGAGACTTGAGTGGGGAGGAGGAGGGAAATTAAAAACAGACTGCCAGAGTGCATGACTACGACTAAGCCCGAGAAAGATCGTGCACTGAGTACTGATAAAGAGAGGAGAAGAGGGGGAGTGCTTGCTGTATAATGAGGTAAAGGGGTGGGGAGCTTTAAAGAGAGCGGGGAGAGAGAATGAACCACCAGGACTTTCACTTTCAGTGAGCTGCAAACTGCCTCCACACTGTTTGCTTCCTTCAGAAGTAGCCTACAACAGATCAAGTGTCTTGCTCACTTGCATGCCAGCTGGAAATTAAAGCTTCAAAACAAACTGACTGAAAAGGAAGAAGGAAAGTTAGAGCAAAAGAAAACAGGAAACTAAAATCTCACAGGAAATAGAGGAATATCTTGTTGTCCATCAGAATTTTTTCCATCAGAAGACTGGGAATTTCCAAGTTGAGCCAGACGGTCAGAATGGAGAGCGGCTGTGGGATCCAAGAGAAAGTGCAACAGTGAGAGAAAGAGGAGACCTTGGAGGCAGCTGGGAAACCCACTGAGACCGAGATTCTTCCATAACCTTTCTGCAGCAATCTGTTGTGCAAAACGACTTGGTTAAGAAGAACATGGGGAATATGGCCCACATTGGCCGGTAGAAGCATGTCACCAACAGGTAACGTGATAGGCGTGCAGCACTTAAGAAGGTCCATCAATTGCTGCGCGTATTAAATGGTTGTGTCAAACTGCGTTTGCGACATTAAGTGAACAAAACGCGTGGGTGTTTTGAAAATGTTAGGGCTTTTAATGCTCTGAACCCACATTGTTTACCTTTGCCTTTCAGTGCTGTTACTTCTATCAATATTGACTGTTCAAGGAAGTGGGTGCGATGATTTTATGAAGACGACGATCAGAAATCTTCAAGACTCTATACACATTGAAGAAACGTCCGGATTCGTGAGTTTCGATGTTTAAGAACTCTTTGTTTACTAGAAAGTTCGCGATCGCATTTATCTGTCCCGTGTCATTTTTGTACTGACCTTATTATTGTTGATTTGTGGGTTTTGGTAACGTCTGAGAAGCCCGTGCATCTTAAATAAATAGTTCGTCTTTATTAAAAGCTTTAAAAATTGACATTGTAATATATATCTATTGCAGCCACAAGTGTTTCCAAAGAACTACGTCGTGTCTCACTATTTCAACGACAGCGCGCTGTGCAATGAGCCGGTAAGACTGACAGTTCAACGGGTCAGTGGTGTGATGCTCTTTTTTTCGGATTCAATTTAAGTTATTCAAAAATACATTACACGTGCAGCTCGGTCACAGACAGTAAATAGAATAAACTTAAAATAATGAACGTGTTTTGGGTTTCTAGATTAAATAGGATTTTGATGTTTTATGGGGCCTACTATCAGAAATATCCAGATGGTGTAATATTGCGAGATTGTAAATGAATGAATGAGTCAGTAAATAAATAAATACAATTATTGAAAACAGTAATGTTGACATAAGTAGCATGAAATGATCTTTTCTTTTAAAAAAACAGCAGGTTATATTGTTTTAAATTGTTTGTAATATTGTCTGCAGAATAAAAGTCAGCCTGTAAACAACATACAGACTTTGGACCCCTTTAGGTCATTCTGGACCCCTTTAGATGATTTTTATTTTTTAATAAAACACCTTTAACTGTAATAAAGCTTTATTCATAACTCTAATGTTAATGACAAACTGTTTGACAATAGTGATTTAATTATATACACTCTTTCGAATTCATGGTGCAAAGTATTTAACTATTCTATGGTTGGAACTGATGGTTACACCAAATTACATTTTTAACCATTTTGAGTCCCGATATGTTGAATATGCTATAAACATTTTCCCCAGATGAAAGCAACAAGAATAAGTAGATTACATTTCTAAGAGCTTGTAATTACATGTAATTGAACATGTAATTAACTTAGATTTTCTTCTGTTTTATCATCTAAGCCATACTTATTTGTTACTGACACAAATATAAAATGTTTAGCTGCTTTGCTCCTAGTAGCTAAACTTAGAACTACACCTGTCTCTCTCTGTGTGTGAGTTTAGTGTTGTGTGTTCAGTGCTGCTGCGTTCCTGTCTAATTCCTGGATTCAGCTTCTCCAGCATCTCAGTAGAGTTCACCTCAAATACAGGTTCATCAGTGAGCTGATTCTCACACTGGACAACATAGCAAAAGAGGTATATTGTCATACACTCTTAGAAAAAAAGGTACAAAAGCTGTCACTGGGGTGGTAGCCTTTCAAAAGTTACACTCAAACTACCTAAAGTGTACATATTAGTACCTAAATGGTACATATTTGTTCCTTTTTAAAAAAATACTACCCCAGTGACAGCTTTTGTATCTTTTTCATACCATACTTCTTGCCACTGTACTATTTTTCCAGATGTTGTATCAACACATCTTTCATTCTTGATTGTAGGTTTTATAGATTGTAGATCTCTTGTGGTTAGTGTTTTTTCTATCTTTTTGTAAACAGAAAATTCCAGATCGTCCAGATATCTCTGCTTTTCCATCTGTTCAGTCATCGCCAGAAGGTCTTCTCTCCTTCACCTCATCCCTCTTCACACGATGGCTTAATCTGGATTGTGCTTTTAAAGAGCATCACTGCATCTTCCCCACACCAAGTGAAGAGGATCAAGAAAATTCGCCATCAGAGGAAGAGAATGTGGAGAACCATGAATCTGTGGATGAGCAGCAGCCTGTGATAGAAGGAGAGACAGGTAAAAGGCAGTTCGATCAGGGTCCGACTAACAGCTATAGTGAGTCACTTTTCCCAGGTTTCTCTCACTGGACTTTTTCTTTTCTATGGATAACATCAAGTCTGATCTGGTAAAAGGTGAGAAATCTGTTTTAAATATGACGCAAAACTTGGCCAAAAGGAGGCTTCCCTTTGAAAGGACCGCTACTGTAATTCACTGTTGTTTTATACTGATTAGCATTTGTATGAGATTTCAGAGAAGTTGCTCTCTGGATATGGCTCATGATTTCTAGATGCATGTTGGAGAAAATGGATGTTTTGGCCAATAAGACGTTCTCTTTCATGTACGTGTATGATGTTTTTTCTGCATCATGTCTTTGCACTGATTGTTTCTATCACTTATCCAGTTTTCTGTCTTATTCAGTGAATTATGTGTCATCCATGATAATTCAGGTTAAACCTGTCGACTGAATGTTTTATCATTGATTGTAGTGAAAAGGTAAAGAATACATGAAGCCAAAAGTCTCCGCTTATCGCTCGGTGTTCAAGAGGAAAAAACTACACTCATGTACTACAGTAAATCCAAGCCATATTAAATAATACTGTAGCATAGGAACCAGCTTAAGCAAGCTACTTTCTGAAAAGGCATTTGCAAAAGGGTTACATAAGTCATGTTTACAAGTATTGTTGTCTTGCCTTAGAGAAGGTTACTACAAGCAATGTTTTACTCAAATGAATTTAACAATCTGTCTGTTTTTGGTATACATGTGTTGTCTGTTTTTAAGTGTAGATTTTTATATATAAATAAAATCTTGAAATTAATTCAGTGTTTGCATGAATTGACTATACTCTTTTGTTTGTCAGAGTGTGTGTATGAGGACTTTTTCTAGTATCAGCTGGATGGAGAGACTTGCAGATGATGGCACAAACAACAGGCCACCACAGAGACCTTTTGTTCACACAATTTTGCTGCTCTACCACAATATAGCCTATAGTTGGTGGCTGGCACATCTCGAAAACACACATAAAACACAATTACCCAGTCAACACACAATAAATTACATTTTAGCTACATATTGTTGATGAATATTGTTCATAATGATGCAGGATTTTACCCTGTTAAATGTCAGAAATGGGTTTGTTTGGATTATCACAACTGAGCCAAACCACATGCAAACTAGCACAGGCCAACCCTGTTAAGAAAAATCAGCTTAAACCAGCCTAAACTGGTTTGCTGGTCCATTTGTCTTGTTTTTGAGGGGGTTTGGGCAGTTTTCAGTTGGTCAGACTGGTCAGCTAAACCAGCTGCAAACCTTGTCCTGGTTGGAAAACCTTCCTAAACCAAGATGGTTGGCTATTAGTATTACTTTACAGTAAGGTCCTGCTAGGTAATGTTGCATTAACCAACATTAACAAACAATGAGCAAACGAGCTTCTGTTACCCCTGTTGAAAAAACCAGCATATGCTGGTTAGGTATGTTTTGACGCTGGGATGCTGGTTTAAGCTGGTCCTTTG